AAAAAAAAAAACAAAAACAAAACAAAAATTGAAAGAAAAGAAAACAAAACGATGTTAAAAGCAAGCATCCCGGTTCCGTTCGATTTGCCATTGTTTCAGTGCTGACCTGGACTGTGTTTTTTCTATGCAGTGTCAACTCTCCCGTCTGGTTGTTTCCTTGTTCCTGTCTGTGCGTGTAACGCTTTCCAACCTTCCTCTGTAAAACTCGTGATCGCAGGGCTGCTGTCAACGGTGTACAAAGAATGTGCCTCTCTAGAGCCCCGTGCCACTGTACATTTTGGGTGGTTTAGACAGTATTTTCGGAGTGTTCTCTATCGTTCAGTAAACCCCCCCGCCCCGAGGTGCAGAGCCCTTTGCTTACTCTGTGAGTGTGTGCACACCGTACCCATAGCCTTTATTTTTCTGTGCGTGTGCATGAGCGATAGCTAGGTGATCCAGAGATATTTTTYGAAGTCTAGATTTAGGATTTGCTAGTGAGGCTTTTTATTTCTAGTTTTATAAAGTTTATCAAGCGTTTTAGTTTTACTTACGCGMGAGTGGAAGTCTGCTGTTTCGGTGACTCCATGAAATACAGTTCTTCCCGAGGAATATTTAAAATATCTTCTATTTTACATACTGGTATTCATATTTTTAGTAATTCTGCATTAAATTATTAGCTACAAAGCGATGTAAATGGGCCACCTATGTGCAATATCTCAGTGAAAGTGTGAGTATTTAATGTATCCTATTTCAATGAAGTAGTACCTTTTGTTGTCATTCTGAATTAGTAGTCTGTGGAGATTTTTAATGGAAACTAATGCAAATACTTTCCAAAAAAAAACCTTATGCTTACCTAAGATTTACATCCCAGGTTATTTGGTGAGAAGTACCTCAAGGACTGTTAAYCTTCCTGTGAGAGCTCATTTCATTTCAAACGCTGTTTGAGGGGATGGCAGASCAGGGTCCCTTGAACCAGGATCCTGCCTTAGGACGCAGGACAGAAATGTCAGTGGTTTCCTTTACCAACTCAGGTCTCCCATTTCCCACCAATGAGAGCTGGAAAGAAAATCCAGCCCCGACGTTATCCACACAAATAGGGCTTGTGAGACCTGCCTGGCATCAAACATGCAAAAGGACTTGAGATGCCTGACAGCCGCTAGATTCTCTGTGGGTACATTCTCTGTGATTTTTACACCAGGGGTTTCTGATGAAAGGCTGTGAGAACTCCACGAGCAGGCAGCTAATCTGTTGGGAGAAATCTAGCCCAGAATCACGAGCCGCACACTGCCGGCATTCCAGAAAGCTGAGTTGCAAGCGAGCCACAAAACTGTAATTTTCATCTTGAATATGCACAAAGATGAGTAGTGGCCATTAGTTTAGTGCAAACAATTATGTTTAAAGGGAAAACAGCCTGATGTTCTGCTTCTGTTTTCCCTACAAACACTGGAAAAAAAAGTTATCAGTGRGTCTCATCGTTCTTAGTGTTTCTTTTATTCGTACGAGCTGGCTGGTGAGATGAGAATTAAGGTATGCATTATTAGCTATATAAATGTTTGTGGTGAGTGCTACTGTTTACTACCTATCAGTAAATTACATGAATATTTTGCTTTAGTGATCAGCATTCGTCTGGGTCAGTGATCATTCCAACGACGGCATTGGCTGTTTTGTTCTATACCGAAGGAAATTCCACTTAGAAATCAGGTTCACAAATCCTTCCCTCCAGACACCCTAAAAGTGACCAAACCACACTGCCCTGGGGCGGAGAGCTGAATCTGATGACTGATTTTTCTTCCGAGCAGTCGGTATTTTTTTATTTTATTTTTATTTTTTTTGCATGGAGCAGTGGCGGTGTCCACACGCGCTTTTCACGCGGCATCRGCGCGTTGTGTGTGCGCGGGAAGACCTGGGTGTCTGACACAGGATCCCGCCAAGGATTCGCAGGGGCACACACAATTCCTACATCCCACAGCCAAGAAACAAGCCAAGATGTCTCTCTGCATGTCAGCATGCTTAGGTGCAATATTGTGGGTAACAGGGAACAGATGTTTTACAGTGTAGGCTTAATGTTCAGTTCTGTCGAGTTCTTTTTTTTTTTTTTTTTTTGGTAAAAGTTTCTTTCATGATTGTTGCCTTTTGTACAACCCAGCTGCAAGAAAGTGAGCAAACGCTGGAAATGTGACAGCAGTATATCTTTTCTGTGAAATATCTTGTACAGCTTAATGTGCAATAAAAAGAAAGTTATATCTGTCTTCAGTGTAAAGTTTCTGGCGTTCAAGCCTGTACGTACAAGTGGGGGAAAGAAACCTTTCTGGTTTTCCATATTGAGTGAAAGGAGGYTAATAAGAAAAAATGCTCCTTATTAAGATGTTGCAAGACTGTGTTATCACCTTCAAATAATTCCTACAAAAGGGGTTCAAATTCATAGACAATGAAGGCACATTCCTTAACWCGCAGTACATGCGATTTATCTTTCTGCACCACAACACACTGCCACAACTGTGCTAAAACTCACTGAGGCACTGCTGTCCTCACACACACTGGAAAAAAAAAAAAAACCTCAAAAAAAATCATGCTTTGCAGCAGTATATCCAGATGTGAGGGGCTTCTTTTAGAGAATGAGTGTTTTACTTGCACTAAATACCCGTGCAAGAATGAAAATTCCCAGATATCCGGAAGGCCCAGCTCAGTTGTGTTCTCTGATTACAACAGCTTGTATCCTGAGTGAAGCATTTTACAAACAAATACTCAGAATTTCCTCCCATCCTTTCTCCCCTAAAGTCAGATGTCCTGAGAGCATTGTCACATGCAAAATTCAGTTCTAACAACCAGAAAACCCCAGTCGGAGCTGGGAGCTGAGATACAAGCAGTGATCCTTGATATCTGACACAGCACTTTGTCAGTCAGAAAACACGAAAAACCCCTCAGATGATGCTGTAGCATCTTTCAGCCACGGCTGTGACAGCCTGAGCCCCTCCTGCACACTGTAGTTCCACACTTCACGCAGTAGTTTGTCACTTTTGTGCCTTCTCAGTGAAAGATCGCCTTGGTAAAGGATTAGTAATGATTTCCTTGTGGTTCTTGTAATGTTCTTGACATATCTCACTAAAGGGTTAAGTAAGTTATTAAAGTATTTTCAATTAGCCTGGAAAATTTCAGCATGAAGTTGTTTTACTGGTGTAAGAGTGAACCTTAGAGGAATATTACAGATAYGATGTTAAGACTTTGGAGGAAGATAACTGCAATAACTGCACAGAAAGTAGTTTCATGTCTTGCTGAAATCGATGTTATTACTGTGCTCAGTTATCTCACAGTCTCTCCTTGGCTGGGGCCAAAACTGTTCTGGGTGTAACGCCACTGGTTTAATTTAAAGTCAGAACCTGGGATAAATTGGGTACTATTTAGCAATTTTCAGGATGATCACGGGGGCTCCAAGCACGTCCCTGATGTACCGAGTGTGAGTAGCACTGTTGCACTCATGAGTAGAGTTCTGCCTCTCGCAAGTAGCATAAATCACCTTGAAGGATTAATTTAAAGTGTTGTAAAGGGTATGAAGTCTGAATAAGGCCTCTGTGAAACGATAACATGATGAAGTTTCTCTTGTGCTGAACCTAGGGGGCCCAGTGCAACCCCAAGGAATGCAATCCCAAAGCCAGGAGCCATTGCAGCGCCTGTTCCCCGCGGGGCAGGCAGCAAAGCCCGCAGCCTCGCAGCCCCAGCGGCCGCCCGGACCCACCACCCAGCAGCCACGGCCCCAGGCTCAAGGTCCTCCCAGCTCCAGGTTATCCAAGGAAGCAGAGCCCCAGGCACAGCCCCAGCCAGCTCCTCAGCCCGCTGAGCCACAGCAGAAGCCACARTCGCATCCGCAGCTCAAGTAAGAGTCGCTCTGTCCTTTTCTGCTCACTGCGCGGGTTTGGTGGGACTGATCTGGGAGTGGGAAGTGTCTGTGAGCTTAAAATGAGTTCAAATGTATCAAAAAGTTGTGTTTGTGTTTATGGAGTAAAGTAAGTCACTAGGTGTAGCCTAAGCACGGTGTGAAATTCCGTCTGCCCCAGCCAGGGCTGGCAAAGCAGCACCTTCCGTGTCTTTGTTTCCTCCTTTGGGTGCCACTGACTCAGGGCTGGGTGTGCTGTCAGCCTGCCCTCCAAAGGGAAGTCTTATCTCCTTCACCTTTTCACCTTGCAGTCCCTGAGATCTCAGATTCCCTCTCCAAAGGGCTGTGTCAGAGCAGCCCAGGCTGGACAGGGTTGGGCAGGATTGCCAGGTTGGCTCTTTGTGCTGCCCTCGGCCTGAGCCCAGGGGATGTGCCCAGGCTCTGCCCAGTGAATGCTGCACAAAACTAAAAGAAAAAACCAAAAAGTGGCTGTCCTGCTTCTGGAAGATTCCTGACTGGTTTATCTGCATTCAGTGAGAAGGTGGCAATGGTCCCCCCTCGCAGCTCCCGCCCCAGGGCTCGGGGCAGGCAGCAGCAGGATTTGCAGGGTTCCAGCACAGCCATGGCCAGGAGAAGCTCAGACACATGTCCTGAATCTGGTGTGTGCAGAGACCAGCACAGAGCCTTGGTTTGCTCCAAGGAGCACTGATCCCACCCCCTCCCGTGCTAAAACTGATGGGAGACAGCCCTGGGTGCTCCCCTGAGCCCAGTTCAGTGCAAAGCTGTGCTGGATGGCAGTGTGCAGAGAGGACAGTATTTCCCTTGCGTCCCTGGGACAATGCATTCCTTTATTCTGTTCTATAATCACAAACCTCAAATTGATTCATCCATCATTTAAATATGCATAGAAAATAAAGAGGTTGTTTTTTTTTAAAGCAAGATGGAAACCAGTTTCTAGTTTGAAACTTAGCTTGAYGACTTCTGACATTGAAGAAAGGCAGCTAAAAACAGTTACAGGACTCTGCCACGTGCTGGCTCCCAACTTCCACCCTTTAGCTCTTTATCCACATCCAGATTCGCTTTTCTCTTCTTCAGATGGAAGAGTCTCCATTGAAAATAAAATAACCAAGGAGAAATGGAAGTTTTTAAGATGTGAGCCATAATAAGAGCAGCTTTTCCAGCTTTYAGAAGCAGTTTTAGGTGCACAGCAAGGCTCAGATCTCCTGCCTGTGGGATTAACTCTATTTGCATGTGTATGCTTTGTATTCACCCACATGCTGTTGCCTAACCTGTATGTACATGTTATTAATCTGTGAATAAATATTTAATTAGGCTACTTATTGTGTTACTAATCAAGTCAAGTGCTGCTTCCCACCCTCCCTCTTTCAGGGAGTACAAACAAACATTTATCAGTCTATTCTCATTAGCACAACTATAATTTATGAAAAACCTAAAGYGCCTGCGGCACTGTTTGCTGTTACATTATTAGTTTAGAAGTAGAGAAGCTGCAAACCATGAGGAGTCTGAGACAATCTCAATAAGAAAAGTGTTTCAGCTTTACTGAAGCCAAAACTGAAATCCATTGTACCGAGATAAAAATGAAATCAGGTAACTCGCTTAATTAGTGCAGGGATGTCTTTGTAAAAAGTTGGTGCTTATTAATGTGTCCTATTTCAATTCAAGCCTATCTTTCAGGTGTTATTTTATCTTGCAAGTCAGGAGTTAAAGTTTTAAACTTCAGCTGTTTTCCTTCTTGYTTTCCTTGTGGTGTTTTTCATGCACAGAAGTTACATGATAGAACTAAGCATGGAGTAGTATTGACAGACTGACTGCTTATAGACAAAAATGGTATCTGATTTTAGGCATTTTTAAAGATATAAAGTATCCTTAAGCCTCCATGAAGGCTCAAATATTCAGCATATATGGACAGAGGGAGAGCACATTACAATTTTAGGATTCACTCTCCAGCTCTGGTCATAACCTGATTACTCTGTGTGCAGAGCTGTTTGCAGCCTTACCAAAACACAATTATTAATCACTCCTGGCGGGCTGTGATTGGGATTGAGCAGCCAGGCCCACACYTTCCTCAAGCTCCAATTTACATCATCCAATTCAGATCTGTAGGAAGAAAACAAAACACCAACGTGCTCCTTAGAAGAAATATTAYCCTCAAGTGCGGGTTCAGCTTGGGGTGCAGGAGGAAGGTTCTATGTTGTGTTTCTTGTGGTTAAAGTCCATTTTTGTCACATCTCAGGGACAAATTCCCTTCTGTGCCCACTCCTCCAGGTGCTCAGGGGGTGGAGGCTGGGGACGAGGTGACCATGCAGAACCTGTTGTGTTTGTGTCTTGCAGCAAGTCGCAGTCCCTGACCAACGCCTTCAGCTTCACCGAGTCCTCCTTCTTCCGATCGTCCGTGAACGAGGACGAAGCGAAAGCCGAGACCATCCGAAACTTGAGGAAATCCTTTGCCAGTCTGTTCTCTGATTAGCCAGCTTCACGTCCACACCCTGCTATAGTCTGACAGCGCCAACGTGAATGTCCCATAGGTTTCGTTCTCCCTGTGCCCTTCTCCACTGTGCTCACTGTTGTACCAAGCAATATGTTAAACCTACAAAACAAAACAAACAAAAAAAMAAACAAMAAAAAAAAAGAATCGATAGCAGGAGGACTTTGGTGAGATCCCATTCAGGACCATGTACAAACATCTGTCGAGAAGGAAAGGTTTCCATTGCTCCCACAGAATGTCCGGCTCCAAGGTCCTTATCCATTGTAATATTGTGGCCTTACTGTGACTGAAGTATCTAACCCTATTTGAGACTCCTTTGTAGAATTGTGTTAATAAAGCGTGGAGGRGCGGGTTCCCTGCTCTGCCCGCTCCCCACGCCTTGCAATGCATGTGTATTTCGTGTGTAAGTGTTTTGTACGCACCGGTGTAGTCCTGACTGTTCTCGGGAGGCCATTCACACCGACATCCTCGTCAAGCCACCTGAATAACGTGAGAAATTGAAGCAGTTTCTTCCTCCTTATCCCATCAGCTGGTTGTAGACTTCTGATGTATTGCTGGGAGTTATCAGTACACTAAATGTCATAAATAGAGTGTGTATGTACTACTGTATCTCCATGTGTCTATTTAAATGATTTATTTCCAGGCTGTAACCACAACTGGGTTTAGTTGCGAAGAATATGCATGATGTTGCCCTTATTTTTGTGAACACCTTCTAATAAATGTAAAGTCCCATGCCTGATTTAAAAAGAAAAAAAAAATGTCTTCTACAAAGCTTGTTTCGACATCAATATATATTGTCTATTTTGACGGATATCAAGAGGGGAGCTTTATGATTGTAAAATATTTGGACACAAATTGCAGCTGTAAGAAAATAAACTGTCACAATGAATTCCCTTGTCGAATCAGCATTATAAAAAAAAAAAACCCAAAAAAAACTATAAACTGTAGGGATCACGTTTATGTTTTAACATATTTTAAAATTTACATCTTTTAAAAACATTTCTCTGACTTGTGCAAACAGAATTGAAATAAGGAAAGCAGACTTTGAGCAAGTAGCAGCAATTTTTAACAGAAGTTATCTGGATCAAATACTGAAGTTTKTCAGTAAACTCAAGGCTATCCAGTTCCAAACTATTTTCATGTCATTCTGAATTTCTCATTGTGAATTATATGCAGGGAACAGTGTTAACTGGGGAACAAGAAAAAGTAACTGTAATATGGATGTGGCTGAGGGACAAAAAGAGCAGCACTGTGATCACTCAAAAACCCTCCAGGATTTGGGGTGGGTTGGCAGAGACACATCTGTTTCCCTCAGAAACAGCAGCTCCTGGAGGTGTGGCAGTTTGTGGGTAAACCTCAAGCACCTTCTGGTGACACAAATCCTCTCAGCAGTGCTGGGTGCTCGGGGTGAGGAGCCCGGGAGGTTGGCAGTGAGGTGTGGAAATTTAATATGCAGGGATTCTGAGCTGAGCTCACTCAGGAACCCCTGATGGCTCTGTGTGACATCAGGCTTAGTCCATGATCTTTGCAGACATTTTCCTGGGATCTGGGCAGCTCCATGTGCCCCAGGAAGCACAACTGGCCCATGTGGGACTGGCCACAAGGACCAACCCAGGACCAGGGCGGCACAACCCTGCCCAGAACAGCCCTTTAGGTTCAGACTAAAATCAACTTCTGGGCGAGTTTGCCCCACAATGATGGCAACATCGAACCACTGCCCTCTGAGAGATGGAACCTCAGCCCTCATCTCTGGATCAGCCCCTGGAGAAGCTCTCTGACTGACAATTCTCTTTTCYTTCAGGAGGAAGGCACTGTGGACGGAAGCCTGTAGCTTAGCTGWTGAATTCTCAGACAAAACAGAGGCTAGAACTGTTTTATTTGTTATTAATCCATAAATATCAGCCAGACTTTGATATTTTTAAAGTTTTGTCACCTTCCTGCCCCCCACTGGATTAAAACACCCTCCACAAGGCTGCAACAACCACCCTGTGCACTGGAGAGCCTTTCATGTCTGAGAAGCGCTTCACTTCTAGATTAGAAAGATTAATCAAAGCTGCTAACGCAAATTAATTACCGCTACAGAGAAAGCATAGTAATTATGCATAGTTTGGCACTGCTCACCATTAGCACATGCCTGGTTTCAGCAAGATTCAGTACAATGTGAATTACAGGTACTTCATTAGCCCAGGCCCCAGATTTCCACTCCAGGCAAAGTTCTCCRCTCACATAAAATTCCCTCCCACCTCTTCCTGGGAGAAAACGGGTTTCACTACAGCCTTTGTTTTACCATCTGGAAGACAAAAAGAAAGAAAGGGGAGGAGGGGGGTGAAGGAATAAAAAAAAAATTAAAAAAGAAGGCGAGGGAGATGATGCAAGCCGAGCCGCCCGGTGCATCCTCCCACGCAGGTTGGGAACACGCCGCCTGCCCAGCGTGCCAAGGAGTGTCACACACAAGCTGCTGCACGCTCCCCTCCCGGGCACTGCCTCCTGGCTAAGGCATTTCTGAGCCATCCCAACACACCTCCCAAATATCAGCAGGAAAAACAAAAAAAAAAAAAAAGGAGGGTTTAGGAAGGCGCGTTCGAGCTTTGATTGTTTTGTTCTTGCTCATGGAAGGGGTCGCGATTTGGGCTGGTGGGTGAGGCTGGAGCAGCCCAGTTCCCAAATATCCCATGGGATCTGTGCAGGGATGCCCAGTGGGATCAGAGGAGTCTGTGGGCTCATCTCTGGCAGCRCAAGGGTTGCTTTTCATTCCACTTTTCCACGCACCGGCAGCYAGTGGTGCCACAAGTTTCCACGCACGGCACTCCGTCTTTGTTCATCTTCCACTTAAAAATWGGAAAATACAAAAGCAGCAGGAGAACCCTACCTTTGTTCATCTTCCACTAAAAAATCAGGAAAATAAAAGCTCCAGGAGAACCCCATTTTTATTCATCTTCCGCTTAAAAATCAGGAAAATAAAAAAGCTCCAGGAAGACCCCATTTTTATTCAACTTCCATTTAAAAATCAGGAAAATGCAAAAGCTCCAGGAGTCGCTAATCGAGTTCAGTCTCGAGATTGAGATGGAGCCATTTTCTGTCCATCAGGCCTGGAGCTGGTTCCAAGCASCAGAGCAGATTTCAAGAGATTGTAATCATGGTCCGAGTGATTAACCCAGCTTTGAAACAGCTCCTGGCTCTCCAGTGAAAATTAGTCAGAACAGGACTGGGGTACTTTGTAAACACTGTGTGCACTTTGCACCCTTCCTACCTCACCAAAACGTAAATTCTGTTGCTCCTGAAGGCTCCTGAAATTTGTTTGTGGGAACTGGAAATATGGGGTAAAACTTTTCCAGGTAATCCAGGGGTGAGAGAAGGAGATAGTTATTTCATTCCCACCAGATACAACAAAATGTGACTGTCTCACAACTTTGCTTCTTGCTCCTCTCCTGAAAGCAGGAGTGGTTTTAACACCCAAAGCACTGTCTCAATGAACAGATCATGTCCAGTGCAGCTCCTGTGCACAAAATTGGGGAAGCACTGACAGGGCTCTGTGCTGGAACACTGCAAATGAATTTTTTTTTGTCCATCACCAGCAGCCTCCAGCAGGGATAGAGGGTGCTGGGTTTCTCAGTACCCAGGATCTGCAGGGCTGAGATGGGATCTGTGGGAGATCTGAGGGCAGCTGGAGGCTGGGCAGGATGGACAGGGGCATCCCAAAGGGCACAGCTTGATAATGGCTGGGAATGAGCTTCCTTCTCTGTCTGCACAGAATCACAGAATATCATGGGCTGGAAGGGACTCACAGAATCATCCAGCCCAGCTCCTGGCCCTGCCCAGACCCCCCAACAATCCCCCCTGTGCATCCCTGGCAGYGCTGTCCCAATGCTCCTGGAGCTCTGGGACCATTCCCTGGGGAGCCTGGGCAGTGCCAGCACCCTCTGGGGACAGCAGAACCTTTCCCAAAATCCATTTTTYSCACCCTCTCCTAACCCAKCTCCAGCYACTCCCTGGGTGCTGTCCCTGCTCACCATCCCAGCACSGACTAAGGAGCAGCTTCATCATTCTCTGCCCTTCTGCTCCCCTTGGAAAATTCCCTGCAGGAAAATCCTATTCAGCAGGACAGTGCTGCAAACAAACAACCACTCATAAAGTCTGATCCCCAGCAGAGTTTATTTTTCCGTACCAAAAGTGACCAGAAGTGATTATGGACTCAGAGCAATTTAGGAGAGATCATCTAAACTGTCACACAGCACCACACATGAATTTGGGTTCTGTATCACGATGCTCACGTCCAACACAGAAATGCTTTTCCTTAGACATCCACCTCTAAATAGGCAGGTTTTTTAAAGATGTTTTTTAAAAATCTTGTATCAAGAGATTCAAAATAGGTACTTAAAATTAGTGTTTAGTTTTCCAGATGCATATTCAGCTCTGCAAAAAAAACAGGCAAATCTGCAAAATCCCATCATTTTCCCTAATTCCTCCTCTTTTTCAAGGAAGAACATCCCACTTCAAGATGATAGTTTACCATGAGTTTCATGAAATGCTGATTTTCTTCTCTGCAGTTAAATTATTKCATCTCCAAAATTAATTCAAGATTAAGAATTATTAAAAAAATTAAACTTTSTTTGAAAGAGAAAGAATTCAAATAATGCCTCAAGTATCAAAATTTAAAATAAGCCAAGAAAACAACATAAAGACCAACCCCTGGTTAATGTAGCCCAGGAAAGACATATTTGGGAGTTTTTTAACCACAAATAATGAAAAAAAAAATTAAAAAAAAAGAATAGTAACTATTTCAACAAAACAAAATAAAATTAACTGATTTTGTGGGTTTTACTGGGACTAGAGTTTTAACTTCTTTTAGCAATGGCGTTGCTCAGCACTTCCAAGAGTGGATGTGGGGTTTGAAGGCTGATCCACATCACATAATCTGACACTTGAGTTTCCCAGGMCAGGGTGTGTGTGATGGAGGAGAAGGTCCCTGGCTTTAGGGCTCAGTCTTTGTCCTATAAAAGTGATGGAAACAGGGTGAAAGAAACCCCCCAATGAACCAAATCCTCCTTCAAGGCTCTGTAGTCTCTGAGGAATAATAATTTTTTAATCTAAAAGCATGATTTTGAGTTGTTATCGTTGCCTACCGCTGACCTGTACTTCCCATGTACACCATGAAGATAGCTGCAGTAAGTAGTGAAAAATTGAAGCTTTTTGTGTTCCTCTCTTGCTTTCTTTACACAGGAATGAATTTTTGGTAAAAAATCCTGTAGATTTCTAAAGCACCTGCGCTGGTAATACAAAAAAAAACTGTGGTGTCTCCAGACAAGAAAGAAAAGAAACAAGTAATGCAYGTGGGCTGGTATTTCACCATTCTGTATTTTGGGAGCCACCTCTCCAAGGTTTAATATGAGCGTTTTGAGTGACAGGAACTTTTCAGAGATGATATAGGGTAAGGGCTTAAAATGACCCAGCTGAATGTGCTCCATCAGGCACAGAATGTCTGAAGGAGCCTGAGATAGCACTGAAATTCMAATTAACAAGAGCTGTGCTCCCTCAGTGTGCCTCGTGCCTTTGGAGGCTGCAGCAAAGCCTAAAGGAGGGCTTGGGTTTTCCTGTGGCTCAGAACAGCCAAGKTGATCCCCCAAAGAATTCCTGTGGATCCCAGCAGCTGTGTTGTCAAGGAAAAGCAAGATGCTGGTGCCTCTCTTCCCTTGTCCCCCAGGTATTTTATATTTTATGTAAATTCTGCCGCTGAACGCTCCTGAAATTTTGTTGGTGGGAACTGGGGATATCGGGCAAAACTTTTCCATGTGATCACAGTGTGAGAAGGAGATATTTATTTCATTCCCACCAGATATAACAAAATGTGACTGTCTCACAATTTTGCTTCTTGCTCCTGTCCTGAAAGCAGGAGTGGTTTTACCACCCAAAGAA